TGTATTTATGAGAGACTCACTACCGAAATCACCTTGGATTCATGAATCAGGAATTATAAACCTAGGCGATGCCTCTTCAAATGGTACACATTGGGTAGCTTATAATAAAAATAAAAAAAATATACACTACTTTGATAGTTTTGGAAATTTACAACCACCAAAAGAAGTTGTGAAATACTTGGGGAATAATATTAGCTATAACTATGATAGAAAGCAAGCCTTTAACACAAACAATTGTGGACACCTGTCTCTACAATTTTTACTCTCTATCAACTCATGATTGGTCTACACTCTTCTCTAGTTTTCTCTGAGATCGTTTCAAACCCACCCTATTTTTAACTATTTGCCTCATGGTTGGGTGAGATCTTAGAATACTTTCTCTGAGATCGTTCAAACCCACCCTATTTTTAACTATTTGCTTCATGGTTGGGTGAGATCTTAGAATACTTTCTCTGAGACCGTTCAAACCCACCCTATTTTTAACTATGCTCTTCTCTGATTGGTCTGCTCCCGAATTTAAAATGAAAGAATGTCTTCAAAAATTGCGAGGGTTGTTCTACTCTCGACTATAAAATCGGTGTGAAAATGATTTTAACACACAGTCAAAGTTAAAAATCAGACAGCAAACTACAAACAACAACAACATCTATAAACAGCCTGGAAAAACAGTTGATTAACTGCTAAAAAACAGGTAAGAACAGCTATTAACTGTATATTAACAACAATTAACTGCTAAAAAAACAGGTAAGAACAGCAATTAACTGCATATTAACAACAATTAAACAACTATTAAACTAGATAATAACAACAATCTGTTTCCATTTATTTTCCATCAATTAGAAAAAAAACAAGAATCATTTGCAAATATGACCAACCCGGAAATGGTAATGAAAGTTATTAAGGACTTCAATGGAAAGATGGCCAAACCTCTACTCACCAAGAACAAGATGAAAACAAATTGCTTTTACCCGATTATGAATGCTCAACGTAAAAAAACTAGCTATGGAACTTCCCTTGCTCTTGAACTTGAGGAGTATATTTTATACTTACCGGAGCGCTACTCAATCTTAGATGATGCAACAATCAACATTATAAAGGATAACCGTTTTTATATTTTAAAAAAGGATGATAATAATTTGTACTTGGAATTAAATAAAGTTGTGAAATCATGAAAATTTATACATTTTTTAATACTTTTAAGCTATATATTTGCAATAATAAAAATAAATTTTCTTCAAAAACACAAATAAATTTGTTATAAATATTTAATTACATTTACATTTCTCACAGTATCAAGTGAGTGTCTGAGAAAACTAGAGCAATGAAACGTCAAGTCTTAAAACAGTTGACAGAGAGTAGAAATATTTTAAAAAGAAAGTTCAATGAATTAAAACAAATGAAAAATGAGAATGCTTCAAATTTAGAAGAAACTTTTAAGCCAATTACAGCGCCTTTACATGCAATTCTTGCTGATAATCAGGCCTGCTCCGGTAATCGAAAACGGCAAGATTTTTTCGTTTTCGTTTTTGAAAACGAGAAATTGGTGCTCCGGTAATCCAAATCGAAAGATTTTTTCGATTTGAAAAACGGGCACCTTTTTCTGGCCGGAATGAAAAGTAAATGGCTTTTTATATATGAAATCAGATCTTATTTACAAAAGGAAAAAAATAGTTTACTCAGTGGTCTATTGATGTTTATTCCACAACACCATAAGATCATTCTGGCAGGTAGTTATTTTATAAAAAATTTATTTCTGACCCCACCTCAGATTTGACAACAAAATTTTTGCCGTGTTCAACCAGTTTTCTCGGTTTGGCGATAGGTCGATAAGTTCACCGCAAAAAGTTATCGCCAAGGTTGCCATATTGTTGGTGGAACGAAACATCCAGTTAAAAATACTTATAAAATATAAATGAATACATTAATAACTTTAAAGGACCGCCAAAATAGTTGTTTATAATTAATACTATTTAATGTGATTACTTAAATGGTCCAAATTAACCAAATAATTATTTGAGACCACCGGAATTAAAACTGTGAAAAGTGTGGCAGCATCTTAGGTGCCTGGATTTGCTTAATTCTACCATTTTTTGCCTTTTTCTGGCTTAGATAAAGGGCAATTGTAAATATAATAGGCAGTACTTTACGTTGTTTACTTGTTACCAACAACACAAGTTAGCTGCTTGAGCAGTGAGAAACGATGAGAAAACGAAACATCCGATAGCAGATAATTGCCGAAAACCGGAGCAGCTAAAAACGAAAACGGTTCGTTTTCACCCAAAACGAAATCGAAAAAATTTTACGATTACCGGAGCAGGCCTGAATAAGAAATTTAAAAATTCCAATGATGGTAATGTATCTGAGAAAAAATCATTGGTAAAGAAGGAGGAGCATCATGTCGCGAGAAAACAGTATGTGAGCGAAAAAGAAAGCGAAGAAGAATTTTTTTCACAAGATTCTGAAAGATATTCTGATTCTGATTCTTCTTCTGATTCAAATGAAGAAGAAGAAGAAGATGAAGAAAAAGAAGAAGATCAAGAAGATCAAGAAAATGTAAATAAAGAAAAAGGGGTGGAATACGATCTCAACATTAGTCATTTAAAGAAAGAAAAGCATCTAGACAATAGTTATGGACCTCGAAAAGAAAATAATATATTGATGTTAGGTAATAGTGCACTTAAAATTCAAAAAAATAAAATGGAATTGGAGAGTGGAAACTCATGGACCTTAACACAAGGTCTATACTCATTAATTTTTCATAACGCACCTCGTGACTATACTAAAGATGATTTAAAAATATATAAACAAATTTTAATTGAGACAAGTGCTCACAAAAGAAACTATGAACCCGACGGACAATTAAAAGGAAATCGCTCGAAGAAATATTCATCAATTATTAGACCTCTTATGACATCAGCTGTCTCACCCACTCGAAAATATACTGGGTCAGCATATATGAAGCTTCAACGAACGAAACCTAGATATATTTATTGGAATGATGTGAATGAACTTGTAGACAGGTTACAGCTTTTAATGAGTTCAAAAGCTGCTGGACATAATGGACATTCTAATGAGATTTTATCGATAATAGAAGAACTGCGAGAAGCAAAAATAATATATTAATAAAATAGAAGGCACTTTATAATTTTTCATTAATATTAAAATGTCAATTGACAAGTTTGGTCATTTTTCGAATGATAGAGAATTTTCCTCACTTTTCAAAAGAGAGCTTGAAAGTCTCACGGGTGTTTATCTTGATACTGATGGCCATATAAATGTACAGAGAAAAAGAATAAAAAACTCTTCACAACCAATAAATGATAATGACTTGGTCATTAAACTATATGTAGACAAGAAAATTGATGATGTTAAATTACTACAAATGGAATCGATTGACAAATCATTTGAGAATCGAAATAAAAGAGTATCAGAGTTGGAGAGTAAAGCAATAAAAATGATTACACAATTAGAACATATAGATATCTTGATGAACAACATAATTAATCAAATTGAAAATATTAATAGTTTTATAAACTCAAAAAACCCACCACCACCAAATCTTCGTACGCAACAGGTGGAAATAGAAGGAACTTTGCTTAAAAAAAGCCCATTCGCACACCGTGAAAGAGATCCGAAAACTGATTTAGTTGAAAGTTAAATATACCATTCCTTCAGCTTTTATATTTATAATAATAATGACACTCGACAAGTTTGGATGTTTTTTAATTGAGAGAGAGTACTCAAGGGAGATTAAAAAGGGGGTAATCAAATTTCAAAGCTTACTCACTGACTCTGATGGTAATTTAAATCTTCAGAGAAAAAGATTTAAAAATTGTTTACCTCCCATCCATGAAAATGATGTAGTAACAAAGAATTATGTTGATGATGAAACAAGAAAAGTATTAACAAATATATCTACTGTAATTTCCAATCAACCACAGAAACAGTCAATTTTTAAAGTAAAACCCCGAATAAATCATGTTGAGAGCAAAGTGAATGAAATTTCTTCAAAAATTGATTATCTAAAGAATAATCTTCGTGAGATAATAATGCAAATTGATGAAATAGAAAATAGTATTTTCAGCTATATAATTCACCCGCAATCAATATTAAAAAGTTAAACAATATCTAAGGAGCGAACACCATTCATCCCGAATAAAATTAAAATATGAGTAAGCGAGATATTCAGGCCTGTTCTAGTTTCCACTTCCGCAAAATTTATTCGGATTCGGATTTCCCTGACCTGTTCTAGTGTTCACTTCCGAAAAATTCTTACGGATTCGTATTTCCCTCTGTTAAGTCTCTGTTAATTTGCAGACGAAACGCACGGAAACTTTCCGTGTGCCATTTGGCCGACGGATTCAAATCCGCAAAATCAGAAATTAATTATTTTAAAATACAATGCGATTATGTATATTACAAATGTTAATTGTATTTTATTCCTTGATGTTTTGGAAACATTTTTGCATAATTGAACTAGCTAATACTAACATACCTAATTTATAAATAATTATTTTGTGGGTGCACCTTAAAATCGGTTCGATTCTAACCTTCACCATTATTGCAAATCCGCCGCCGCTGTTTCGTATTTGAGAGGGACCATTTAAGGGTTGTCAGCGTTCAAAAAAAATGCGATGGAATATGTTTCATGTTATTTTAAACAATCGTTGTACTAATTGGTCTTTTATTTTAAGAACTATTATTAACTTTTGCTTAAAAAAAATAGTTTTGTTAAAAATTTCTCCAACATTATTGTACAAACTATGCGTGAAGTGAAGGGTATTTTTTTTTCCTTGACCTCCGCAACTCTTTTATGAGCTGCATTTTACAACACCACCTGTAAAAAATTTCACAGCACTGCCTAAGAACAGCTGACTGGCACACGCAATTTAAATTTCAACAATGTAAGTAAAAATAACGCTCAAAAGTTTATTTAATTAACAATTTCTATTAGGAGGAAGCATAAAAATCAGGCACAGGATGAGGTTTTTATCCTTTTTATGGAAAAAAATGATGATATTGCCAGAGGCTACACGAAGGGTGACCGAGTGGCGGTAGATGCCAAATGGGTGGAACTGGCCAATGATTTAAACGCTGCAGGTCCACCAGTAAAAGATGTTGGTGGATGGAAAAAGGTAGGATTCTTTTGAGTTTATTTGAGAAGTTCACATTGAAACTCACAATATTACCTTAAAGGCTTGGGCAGACTGGAAGACCTCCATCAAAAAGAAGCTGGCCCATAATAAAAAAGAGTCCATTGCTACAGGTGGGGGTCCATTTAACCAAATGCCCCTAACAGATATGGAAACCAAAATTGCCGATCTCTGCGGCCTGTTCCGGATGGTAGATGGGATTGAAGGTGCTAGGTCTTTTGGACCCCCGGAACAGCCGATCAAAACGGAGGCAACTGAGGAAAGCTCGCAAAAGCGTCCCGTGGATTCCAGTCCAGCAATAGAATCTCCGGCAAAAAAAATTCGGAAGACGCAACAATTTTCTTTGGAGGAGGCTTGCTCCAGCCAAATGAAAATAATGGAGCGCGTCGTGAAGTCCCTGGACGAGCTAAATGCGACGATGCGTTCCCAAAACCAAATGATGGCAGAACATAATGCTGCAATTTTAGACATAGAAAGGGAGAAATTGGAAGCCATTAAAAAGCATTATAACCAGAAATAATGCAGTCAATGAGATATAAAAGTAATATATGTTCCTTAACGCATTGAAGCGACAATAAAAATTAAGTTTATTTAATAACAAAATTAAGTTTATTTAATTAATACGGTTAAACAAGCTTCGTGCAATTTCGTCCCGAATTTCAGTTGCATTTTCGACGTCTTCCTGAACATTGAGTTGCTCCTCCTCTTGGTAGATCGAATCGAAATACTCCTGATCCATACCAGGCATTTCTGCATTTCGTTGACGGCAAAAGTTATGTAGCAGGCAGCAGACGTTGATAATTTTGCACACAAATTTTGGATCGTAAGCCAAAGTACCTTGAAGACATCTAAACCTACTTTTTAGTAGGCCTATAGTCCTCTCTACAATATTTCGAGCTTCGGCATGCTTCACGTTAAAGATATGTTGCATACTTCCATTTTGTGGACTACGGTAAGGAGTCAAAACAAAAGGTTCCAACGCATATCCGGAATCTGCTAATACAAAGGAATTACTCGTCCTAGAGAAAAATTCTCTTGTATTGCTATTGTTCCAAATGAAGGAATCATGGCATGCTCCTGGATGTGTAGCATCAATTGCAAGAATCTCCATATTATAGTTGCATACCTTAAAAAAACCCACAAATATTGCTATTTTATTTAAATAATAGGTAATAATAGTACTTACCACCATTGCATTAATGCTAAAGTATCCTTTCCGATTTAAATACAATGATGGGTCTTCTACGGGTTTTACAATTTTAACATGTGTCCCATCTACGCATCCAATTATATTAGGAAGAGAAAACTTTTCCAAAAAGTAATCCTTAGATTCATTAATTTGAACTGACGTTTGCTGGGTGGATATGTTTTCGGAGCACAAGTTTTCCAACGATCCTATCACTCTATGCAGTATTTTAGAGAACGTGCTTCTTCCTATATTGACATCATGGTCCTTTGCCACCCCCAATTGGTAAGACCCGGTTGCAAGGAAGCGAAGCACTGCCGCAACCTGTGTCACATGAGAAATTAGGGGATTCCCTAGGTAAGGTCCAATTCGATCGACAAGAAATGTGAACAGTTCCTTGTTTACCCGGTAGGATTCTACAAATCTGCAAGTCTTACAAATTTAGCTTTCAATTTTTTACAATTGCGATTAATAGTGACTCACTGTCGATCTGGCAAATCCAAAATCGTAGCATTGTTTCTCAAGTGTTGATTGTTGCGCTGAATGCTTAATAACTGCCGTCTTCTTAATTCGTTAGTCGCCAATATGTGCAAAAACATTTTGTAAAATTCTAACGTGAAAATCTTTAAATTGGTACGGGCAAAACAGCTGATATCTGCACGAGTTTTCCAATACTTCTTAACGAACATTTCCAGCACTGCGCCGAAAACAGATGATTGAAATTTCAAATATTTCAAATTCACATTTTACGGCCAAGATGGCTTGTACCTTTAATTTTATGTTATGAACTAGTAACCCATTAGCGTACTTAGGTTGGACGCTAGAGCGGGCCAAAATCCTATTAGCCCCCTATTAACAAAACTCAGGCAAAACAAACCCGCTTGTCTATACCGACCAGCTGATATTCCTTGGGAACAAAAGGGACCAAGGGGAAATTTTACAAAAGGTCCCTTAATCAACAAGGGAAATTCGCTTATGTTAAAGGGAAATCCGCAAATGTTATCAAATTCACTTCCGAGTGGAAACTAGAACAGGCCTGATTGTGAATGAATTACATCGCCCCACATTAAAAAACTTCCCACGACGTCGAGTGATAGTAAAAGGAATTAATGATTTGTAGCAAGCTGATTTAGTTGAGATGAGGCCTTATGCCACTGTCAACAAAGGCTATAAATATTTATTAGTGGTGATAGACTGTTTCTCGAAGTTCGGGTTTGGGGAGGCGGTGAAATCAAAAAATGCAATAGATGTCACCAAAGCTATGTTAAACATTTTAGAGTCTGGTCGAGGGACACCCAAGAATTTACAAACAGATAATGGAAATGAGTTCTATAATAAACAATTTCAAGAATTAATGACGCGATTTAAAATTCATCATTACTCAACTTTTAGCGTTCTTAAAGCATCGATCGTGGAACGTTTTAATAGAACATTAAAAGAACTTATGTGGCGTGAGTTTAGTTTCAATGGAAAATATACATGGATTCAAATGTATAAAAACTTAATTGATATTTACAACAACAGGAAGCATAGAACAATAAAAATGAAACCAATTGACGTCAATGCGTATAATGAGAAACAACTTTTATCAACGGTCTACAATCACCGAAAAGTATTTTTAAATAACAAAAATTTACGGGAAGGGGAATTTGTACGCATAAGTAAATATAAACATGTATTCACAAAGGGGTACATAGCGGGCTGGACCACAGAAATTTTTCGAATACGACATGTTAACAACACATTCCCCACCACTTATTTACTTGAAGATCTGAAGGGGACCCCTATAGAAGGCGGTTTCTATGCCCAAGAAATAAAAAAGACTTTGTTCCCCCACACTTATCTCGTCGAGAAGATTTTGAAGCGGAAGGGGGATCGTGTGCTTGTGCGCTGGCTAGGCTTTCCAAAGACAGAAGATAGCTGGGTCCATAAAAACGAAATTCTATAATTCATGCGTGACGGATAGTGCGTGGAGGGCGATGTGCGTTGAGGGCGATGTGCGTTGAGGGCGATGTGCGTGGAGGGCGATGTGGAATATACTCTGTGTATATGCGTGTGTGGTATGCGGCTGATAGTGCGTGGCGAGCAGTGCCAAAGAAATATCTTGATAATTGTTTGTATGTGCATGTGAATGTCTATGTTTTGTTTAATTTCTCTGCTCGTTCTCAATGTGAAAAGGGCGAATGAATTTTCGGTCCAGATCAGTTCCCAACTATTCTTACATTGGAAAACATCACGATGTCTTTCAACGCGGTCGTGATCTTCGTTTTCGTGACTATTTTGTGTGGCGTGAACACTGCTCCGGTTAAATATGTACTAGCTAATTTAACAAACTCAACTTCATGGAATTCATCAAATGAAGTTGAGTTTTTAATGAATTTACCGAACTCTAATAAAATAATGAGGATAGAATTTAATTTTGAAATTTTGGAAGATACCGAAATTTACAAAAACATATCCTCAACTATTATTAATGATAAAAATGAGAAATTAATTGAAAGTGAAAGTGAAAGTGAGAGTGAGAATATGGTGCCTTCACTGCTGCGAATTTCATCAACCCCGCCTTCATCACCCTCACAAATTTTCATAGAAGACGGAGGAGCAATATCGACTTCAACGCTGGAAACAACCCTCATTAGTGGGGGTAATGATGATGATGATGATGACGATGGAGTAACAACAACAACGACAAATAAACCTGCACCCTCACCAATTTTGAATGAGGATAGAGAAGTTGACATAACCCTCATTAGTGGGGGTGATGGAACAACGACAACAACAACAAATAAACCTGCACCCTCACCAATTTTGAATGATGATGACAATGATGATGATGGAACAACAACAACAACGACAAATAAACCTGCACCCTCACCAATTTTATTCGAGAATGAAGAAGAACAATCGACGACGACGACGTTGGAACCAATTTTACCTTCTACTACCGGAAACGAATCAAGTACAACTCTTGTGATGACCAGGGAAAGGCTATTACTCAATAGTTCAACATTTGAAACATCAACTTCAGCTGTTACTTCAACTTCTACAACTACAGCGAATACTATGGCGGATGATAGTTCTTCATTTAAGATCTTGTTGGGGATACCCGATAATGATGAGGATAATGTAAGTCGCATACCAGTGAAGAGAAACACGACGCGTAGATTAAAAAATAGTACAACTATGAATAGCACAGGTATAGCCATAACAAAAAAAAAAATTAATAGAGAACTTTAAGCAAAAATTAATAACCCAGGAGAACAAAATAGGTGGTCATTTCGATTTAGGTCACAGAGGGGCTAATAGATATTTTATTATTTCATATTCAAATGGCAAGGTGGGTATTAAATGTCACTATAGATCTAGATTAGTTCACACCTCAAATACTGACAATAAAAAAATTAATAATATTCCTCCATCAACACTTTGAATAAATTGTTTTGAATTTGCTGAGGCGTTAACACAAGAAGCTCTTGTTAATGAGAGGAAGAAAGACAAGAAAATTAGGACACAGATTTCGAGCGAGGCAGATCATCAAATTGCAGCAGAAAACAGGTATCAGGATATTAACGATGGCTATTTAAGTGATGAACCACAAGTGCGGGAAATTAGAAATGATGAGGCTGAGCAATGCAAAATGCAATATATTTAAAAAAGAGGAATATAGCAGATAGACTGTTAGATGATTATTTAAATAGAAAAGAAACCCAGATTTCGAACGATGAAATAAAGGTTAAAAACATTGATGAGTTCCAATCAATACTTAATGATGAAATTTCATAGGTAAAAAGTTATTTCTCTTCCAGAATATAAAATTTAGTGAAGGTTATGACTGGGAGAAAAACAAGATTCAAAATGATACAACTAATAAAAAAGGTGAGTAAACTAAATTTATGTTTATTTTCAATTTTGAAATATTATACTAATTTTTTTCTTTTTCTTTTCTTTTATTTTCTTCTCTTTTCTATAGATAGGGGAAATGATATGAATGAAAAAAAAGGTGAGTGAACTAAATTTATATTTATATATATTTTTTATTTTTTTATATAGTTGAATATTTCTTAATTATTTTTTATTTAATTTTGTTTACAGATAAGGCTTTGGAAAATAATCTAATCAATGAAGGGATTTTTTATGTAGACGCAGATGAAGAAGAAGAAGCAGGACGGCTATATGAAAATGAACTTATTTATATGGAAGGCGGGGTTGAAAATTATAAACAAATCTTACCTTTAAATATAGACCAAGAAGATGAAAACCCCCTCCCCCCTCCATTTGTTGATGTTGATGATACAAACCAAAACGAAAATGATGTAATTTTAATGGAGGGAGGATTAACTAATTACACCCAAATTGTGAAATCTAATATATTAGATCCAAAAGAAGAATTTCTCACCAATAATGAAATGAATCAAATTATTTAAAAAAATTTTTTGAAATTTATATTGTTTCTTTATTTAAAAATAAAAATATTTTTTTCTAAAATTGTTATTATTACTAACTTTTTAAATTGATTAAGAAAATATACAATTGTTCTTAAAAATATATAATGAATATAAATAAAACTAATCATTTTTATTGTTCTTTTTTTTTTTTTTTTTTTGGCATAACATTAAACAAAATTTTATTAACGTTGATCAACCAACCTAATGGCTATAAAACGTTGGTTATAAATATGAACAAAACAATAACATGGCACTTAACAGAAACGAAAAAGTTTATCAATTTTTTTTATTGTTCAAAAAAATTAATATTGTCAAAAAAAAAAATACATATTTGTTCTTAGAATTAAGTTTTTACATGTTTTACAATGTTTTCTTAAATAAAATTGTACTTGTTTATTATAATATATTATCTAAATACTTTTTATTTAAAATCATCAGATTTTCTTATTATAAATAGGTCTTGTTCTAATTCCTTGACTTCCAATTTAAATTGGTCTTCCTCTCTTTTTGTAAATATTCTTCTAATTTTTTTTGTTCTAAATTACTCCTATTTGTACAATTTTCAATTTTTTTTTATTTTCTCATTCCATTCGAAAATACTTACATCTAATTCAGCTATTTTACATTCTAAATCTTTTTCTTCTATTTTATAATGCCCATATGCCATAGTACCCATTTTATTAGAATCTATAATTCTCTTATCATCTTTACTATTAAGTATAATTTTATTACACCTAATAGTAGATACTATATGATTTGATGATCGAATCATTGCCATTGACCCTATCACAGACTCCTCAGAAAGCAAACACTTTTTATAATCATGAAAGTCTATTTTCTCTATCGCGCTTCGTTTGACACCTTTTGATTTTTTTATTGTTTTTTCAGCGCTACCATCACCATCACTAAATTTAAATGAATACATTTTCGAGCGTAAACCAACAAACTCGAGCATGGGTTTCCCATTGAGTTCATCTTTGAAAAACCCTAACTTTTTTTTATTGGTTTTAGGGAAATTATACGTTTCTGCAATTTTATCTGGAAATTCAGATGTATCAAAATATGACTCTATATCATTTTTAATATCATTATAGAAGTCATCAGTTTTGATGGTATATATAAATGAATCTGTATCCATGTAATTCAATTGTATGTTTTCATTAAATTTTGGTTTCATATAATTATAATGAAAATCATACATCTTCCATTTTGAAATTCCTAAAATTGAAAAACCTAAATATAATGGTTTATTATATAAAACATTTAATTTGTTCATTTGAAATGCATAAAAATGATCCGAAAATTTTTTAAGACTATGAAAGTTAGATTTGGAAATCAGTGAACGGGCGCAATCTCTTTTACGACCAGGAGAATCATTTGGAGTTGCACTTTCCCATTCTGAAATTAATTTAATATTAACGCGTTTATCAACGTTCTCCATGGTCTTTCCAAAGATCGAATTGTTGTTGTTGAATAATTTATAAAATTTTTTATCAAATGTATTATTAGCATTTGTACGATGAAAATTATTAAGATCAATATATTTCTTCAACCAAGGTTTTTGGAAGAAGCGAAGACCTCTATGAATTTTTTTCAATTGTAATCCACATTCTAAGCACTGTTTCAAATTTCTATAGTGGATTATATAATTATTTTTATCTTTTAGATCTGCAATTAATTTTTTTACTTTAGATGATGGTGTTGGTAGCTGATTACTACAACAAAATGGTAAGTCATTATGAGTCTCATGCAAGCTAAAAGGATAATCTAAATCTACCTCGAAAATGTATCCATATTCAGAATCATCTGGGTGCTCTAATATATTTATATTATCAAGGGTTTCCCTTGATACCCATTCAAATCCTCCATATGGCAAAGGTTGGGACATGGCCCATCCATACAAATTGTTGGCATCAAAATATGATAAATATTGGGATTCTTTTTTATCGTCATAAGAATCCAAATATTTATGATTAGCTTTTGAATATCGATTTACGCATTGCACGAGACCACCACGAATGCCCGACTGTAGAAATTTTAATTGATCTATATCTGTTAATAGTTCTAACTCAATTTCGGTATATTTTAACATGGCCTCCCATGATAAACCAGGTAAGGTGTAAAAATCCGCAGGGTCTAATGAGTGAATTTTCATGCAGATATTTCGAAAGTTTTCAAAAACATCTGTCATTAGCAAGACATCTGTTTTCAAATACAATTCCAAATAATCTTTTAAATTTTGACATGAAAATTTATCCCAAACCCTCTGTGCATGAGTATAATTTTCTTCCGAACAATTAGTTTCTGTTAGGGAGCTATAGAATGCTTCTCGGGGAGGTAAAGAAGTTTCTGATAGCCTCTCAACTGAATCTAAATATTCATAAGGAAATACACCCTTACGCCTCATCAAAGAAAATTCTTCCTGATTTTCAAAGAAGGTTTTCGTTGTTACTAATTGATCATCATCTAGGTTTGATGCAAGTGTGTCTAAGGCGGACGACATGAAGCGGAAAGAATCAAGGAAGCGAATCTGAAAACTTCCCCCATCATCAGTATATATAGTTTTTGAGAGGGAAATATAGTGCTCCTTATTTGACGGAATAACACTCATTTCTCCAGGTATGAGAGCCAATTCTTTCACGAATAAATGACAATCATACCTGGAGAAATTATGGAAAAAAACTGGGATGAAATCTGGGACTTGATATTTTAAATTGCATGCATTATGTGCAGCACCTCTGAATTTACCAGTAAAATGGCAATGATCCCTCACCCTATCTAATAAAAGGGGACTATGGCAGATATGGCATTTATCAGTTTTTTGGAATTCTTCTTCCTCATCCATAGACATTTGGATGGAAATATAATTTGAATAAATAAATTTTAAATTTGTAATGAGTGAATTCACAAAATTTTGCCCTGCTTCTAAGGTCGTTTCAATTTCAATCTTACTTAGACTATCATCATACGCACACTTAATATAATATGCATATGCTATAGGCACATGTGTATTTATTTTAAATAGTTTTTGACTAATAGCCTTCTCATCAGGCTGCAGTATAGCTTCAAAGTCAGCATATACTGAAAATGGCACCTTAACCTCCTTATGAACATTCGTGCAGCGGAGGGTGGCGTTCTTCGGATTGGGCAGTCTGGAAACTATTTTGCTACACACTTCAGAATGACGTTTGGCGGCTTCCTTAGTTAAGGAATAATTCAGGCATCTATTGCAGAAATAATAATAATAAATAAGACTCACCCTGAAAGATTTCTTATCCATGTGTAGTGCGCTTTATTTCCTTCCTCCAAAAGCAGCATATTTATTTGGCGGGGTTTCACCTCAGGTGGGTAAAAAATGGGACCATAAATTAATCCATCATCATATCCAAAAACAGATACGCTCAGCTCCAGGTTTTTTTTTCATAAAATCCGTGATATGTCGGGGGTTGAGAGGGAACTCCAATCCACTGAAATCCAATTGATACCCGTTTTGGAGGGTGATAACATCATCTTCAATGTTAACCCTATACCCGCTGCATCTACTCCGTTTGGCTGATTTGTTCATGATCGCAGCAATTATCGTCCACTTGAAACAAAACTCATCGTTCAAGTTTCTTACACTCACAATGGATGCTTTATGTTCCAGTGCCTTGGGTAGCTCGATAAATGACGATCCTCTTATTGGTGAATATTGGTTCACGTTCATCTCAAGCCGAGCGATGTGGACCAATGTCCATCCACTATCCCTCTCTTGGAACTCATCCATTTTCCCAATTATTTTCTCGGTGTGGTCCTCATATTCATTGTTAATGTCTGAGTGCATGGAGAGAATTGTCATTTTCGATTGAAATGACTTCATCTCCATACACTCCTCCTCATCTTTTAATAGCTTATACAAACCGAAAAGTTCAAAATTAACTTTTACGGATGCATAGCTTTCCAAAATTGTTGCTAGATGAGGCAGAAATGCGTCTCCTGCCTCTCGTAAAAATGATGCCGGGAATATCACTCCTGCCTGCGTATTCTCGAACAGGTAGTGAAGGATCCTCCCTCGAAATCCATCTGCTACTTTTTTGACCCGGGAATCCACGGGTTCAATAGCATTCATTTTATGCTTCTCCGTTCGCACATGCTGATTCCATACAGCAGAGGAATTTGTGGGCTTATTGCACTTTTCGCAGAATCGATACATTTTGGTTCTTGTTTTTTTATTTTATGTTTTTTAATTCACTTGATCGATTTTTTTTTTTTTTTTTTTTTTTTTTTGAATAGCACAGCACAGCACTATTTACAAACAGTTTTAATAATTTCTTAAATTTTCCTTTTGTTTGTTTGTTTTTATTATTTTATTTTTTTGATTTGGTTAATAGCACAGCACAGCACTATTTACAAACAGTTTTAATAATTTCTTAAATTTTCCTTTTGTTTGTTTGTTTTTATTATTTTATTTTTTTTGATTTGGTTAATAGCACAGCACAGCACTATTTACAAAAAGTTTAAATAATTTCTTAAATTTTCCTTTTGTTTGTTTGCTTTTTAATTAATTTATTTTTATTATTTTTTTTTTCTGATTTGGTCAATAGCACAACACAGCACTATTTACATTATTCAGTTCACTTTCACTTTGCTTTTTTTTCAGTTTCTTTTTTTTGTTATATATTTTTTAAACACTTGGTCGAGTTTTCACTTTACAAAAAATGTATTATTGGAGACCGAGAGAAATTTTCGAGACGAAGAAAAATATCTTAACGCGAGCGAATGTTTTTTTAAACTAAAACCATTTCCCGAAATGCACTTTCCAAGATGACTTTTTGGGGGTTTAGAAAGTACCCCATTTCCTTATTTCTATGAATGTGTGTGAGAAAGTCTTAAGGGGGTAAATTCTTATGTGTTCTTCAAATTTCTCTTTTTGTTCACATCCCTTTTCTATTAGGAAGGTTAGCTCCCCGAAATTATGCTAATTTAAGGTAACATCCACA